TGATTATACTTAGTATAGTTGTCATTGTACTTGTCAAATGCTTCCAAGTACTGACCTCCCCTTCACGGGGGAGGCCACCTCACAGTTTCAGGTAGGGAGTAAAGCTTGCTGCCATCACCGTTGCTCGGGTAGGATCCAAGAAGAGGAGACGTGGTTCGTGCCTCTTCAGATTCCATTTTTCAAACACTTTAATTAATGCTCATGGATAATGTTTTTCTATTGAATATTTAATGGGGGCTTGTATGCCCATGTTTGCCAAAGTGTGGCATGAACACTTGTACCAAATGTTTCCGCTGCTTTGAATGAATATTTTACATTATGTTTGTTTATGGATGTACTATGCGTGAATGATATCCCAGACGCCTTGTATAGTATGAATGTGTTGGACTGCGGTTGACTATTCGTACTGTACGGCGGATTGTTGACGTGTCCGGATAGGTCCGGGGCGTGACACAGCAGTTCACACCCGGCTGTCTCGTCTACCAGCAGGTCTATTCGTGGGACAGGATAGGGGTCCATGGGGCAGGCTTTATTCAGATCGGAGTAGTCCACACACATTCTCCAAGTAGATCCTTTTGGAGCAAGGACCACATTAGCCATCCATTCGACATGGATGACTGGTCTAATGTGCCTAATTCTCAGTAAGCTACCTCCTGCTTTGTGAATTCCCGCCATTCGGCCGCCTGGTATCTTTTCTTTTGTTGGACTGGCCTGGCATCAGGCCGAACAGCCAACTTGTGGCATATGAGGGCCGGATCAATCCCCGGCATGTCTCCGGGTCCCCGGGCAAATAGGACCTGGAATTTCTTCAGGACAGCGATCACCCCTTCCCTGATTTCCCCTTCAAGGTTCACCCCGATCGCAATTTTTTGATCGGGAGGGGAATCAAGCTCGATGTACTCCAGGAGGGTGGCTGGTTCGCGGCGTCCTTCAAATTCTGTGCGCCGGGTCTGCACCTCAATGTTGTTTACCCGTTGTCCCCGGGTAGTCATTTGTTTCAAAGCCTCCTTGTAGCACGTTCGGGCTATGGCAGGATCTGTTCGGGCCACTCCTACTCCAGTGTCAGTTGGGAACTTGATGCATGAGTGTCGAACAGAAGCAATTGCCTCCAAATCTTCAAGCCCTGGACGGCACAATATGGCGTTGTGGGCACATGCAATGTCCACCACTACAAAAGTCATCCGGACTGCTTCCTGGTGGGTTTCATCACCAATTTCAACCAGAAGCTGGATGGTGCCCTCGGCCTCGATTACATTGCCGGTGCAGCTAGCCAGCGGTGTCTTCAGCTTGGTCAGCTGATCCTTCTTCAGCTTCATCTTCTCCAACGTGTGTAAATATAGCACGTCCACACTACTCTCCGTGTCCACCAGAACTCGGTGGATCAAGGCATTGTCTATACACATACTCACCACTAGCTCGTCCCTGTGCGGACTTGGTGAGTTGGGTAGGTCAGCCACCCCGAACGTAATTGGCTCCAAGCGGCCCTTCTTCGTGGGTGGTGCAGCTATAGTGGCGACATAGAGGCTGCGCTCAAATTTCTTACGTTCAGCGGCCATATCCCCGGTCTCCCCTCCACCAAAGATGACTTTGACTTCCATCCTTGGCTTCTTCCCCGGATTCCCTGACCCCTCAGTCTCCTCTATGGGGGGCGGTATGAATCATTACTTGGCTCTGCATCTCGCTGGACATCCCGCTTCCAGCTATTGGATCGGGGAGGGCGTTGATTGGGGGAAGGATTGTTCGAGTTGGTGCTGACATATTTCCTCAGGTAGCCTTTCTGGATCAGGTCCTCGATCGCCACATGTAGGGCGTGGCAATCCTTCGTGAGGTGTCCATTCCGCTGGTGGTATCTGCAGAAGGCATTCGGGGTAGGTCCCATCACGGGCCTTGTGTCAGTTGGGGGGGGGGGGGGGGGAATGGCATTCTTTTCCAAATTAAAAACGCCGGCTATAGACATGACCAGGGGGTGAAACGCGCAGTCCTGCGATGAGGTGCTATAGCAGCTGGTGCGGGCCCCAAACGTTCCGCCAGCCTTGTAGTGGGGGGCTGCGGGGCCGTTCGGTCCCTCATCCTGATTTCTTCTTCTAGGGCCGCATGCCTCCTGGCCCTCTCTAGCACCTCCGGGTAGTGGGTGCCTGGGTTCTTCTTGAGCTCCCTATATAGTTCCCCGGTTTGGAGAGCATCCGTGAACAAGAGGATGGCAGTCTCGTCCGTCATGCTAGTGACCTTGAGGGTCTCGCTCCTCCATCTGATCAGGAAGTCGCTGACGGACTCCCTTGGTGCTTGCCTCACCGTGGTCATGTGACCGAAATGCACCTTTTGCTTTGTGCCAGAAGCGAACTATGCCAGGAATAGAGTGGACAGTTCGGCGAAGCTTCCGATTGATCCGGGCTGCAACGTCCCGAACCATTCTTGTGCCGCTCCCCGGAGGGTGCTGAAGAACAACCTGCAGATGGCCGCATCAGTAGCCCCAAGGAGCATGAGGCCTCCTTGGTAGCTCCTCAAGTGTACCTCAGGGTCACCTACCCCATCATATGTAAGCCCGGCCGGGGGACGACAGTCCCGGAGAATTTCTGCATTCATAATCTCCCATGTGAAGGGAGAAGTGATACCCGCCCTAACTGGTGGGGTTTGCTGGGGCGTCCGGTTTACCTGCTCTCTGAGCTCGGTCATTTGTCTCCGCATTTCGGCCATTTTTTCGTCTTGGGCCGTTCGGGGAGCCTGTGGCATCCTTGCTCCCACAATACCCGGCATTCTGTACGGGGGAGGGGCAGCTGTGTTATCTCTCCTCCGGATGAAGCGTTCTTCTTCCCTCTGGACATACTGGAAGTGCTATCCAACGGGGTCTACCATGGGGGTAGGTTCCCTGTATTCGTTCCGAGGTGCGGATGGGGTTCGGCTGGTTGGTGGTGCGTACCTGAGGATGTTGGTCCTCCATTGATCTCCCCGATACTGCTGGGAATGTGCTGAAGCCGTGGTGGTTTCAGTGTCTTCCCCTTCGTCAAAGGATGACATAGGACGAACAGGGGATAAGGGCTCATGAGTCCCGTCAGTATATCCCTGCTCCTGTTCATCCGCCATGCGTTGCATAGCCTCTGCCATCTCTCTCATCAACTGAGGGTTCCTCCTCACATCCGGAGGGATGATGCCCTCAAACTCCCGAGTGGCACTGCCACTGGCGTTTCCTTGCATGGACCATCCCTCAGAGGACCCGTTGCCTCCTCGGCCCCCGGATGTAGAACTTGGTGTCGCCGTTGTAATTCTAGCCATCTCAAAAAATGGTACTTAGAACAAAGGTTTTGCTTGGGGCTTTTAGTAGAGTTTCCCACAGACGGCGCCAATGTTGAGGTTTATTCCCGAAGATCCGAAAGCCCAACACAAACTTTGGATATTGTAGGGATATTGGGTTGGGTTGAAAAGTGTATAAAATATAAAACAGTGAGATATTATCCAACTCAGGAGCTTACTAGTATTCAGTAACTATGCTATTACACTGGAACTACCCGAACGGTAGATGAGTATGAGAATACAAGGATAAGAGATGTAAATCTATTGCTAAGCTCTGAGTATATAAATGCTAACCCTTTACAATGATCTAAACATGGGTATTTATACTAAAATGGGGATAGGTAAGGTGGACACGTGGCCGAATCTGGTAGGCTGACACCTCTGCCATGTAAGCACTCATGCCCCCCACTTGCAGCCGCCATGATTCAGCATTAAATGCGGCTTCCACTTGCTGACTGCCCGTTCGGGCAAGGCGTTCGGTGTGTGGGACCCAGCCATAGGTGTTATCTTGTTATGGAAGTATCCCGAATACCGATCGGGATCTGGGCATTGGTACTTTGGCGTAATTGTTTCCTGGAATGTTCCAAGTAGAAGCTTTATCCCGAATGCCGTTCGGGAATTCTTTGGACTGCCTTGGGCCCGCTGCTTCTTCCCGGATTTGGGCCTAGGGATATTGGGCCTGGACCTAATATCCCAACAGTCCCTAAAAAAAGTATCACAATAATGTCATTCAACTATAAGGTGTTTGATGTTTTTTAGTTTATTTTGTAACAATTATTCACCTTTAAAATATTTGCAAAACCTATTCACATTTATGCAGTGTTTATGATTGCATCTACATAAAAAAAAATGATTTTAGATCAAATGCATAATGGTACTACAATGTTCGTTTCAAAAAACAGTACTACACACTATGTTTGGGCAGTATTGAAGGAATACGAGAAATGGAATACAATAGAAAGAATCAGATTATACTTCAAAAAGAAGATTACCCTAAAAGTTTTAATTATTTACAAGAAAACCAGAGAAGCCGGTAAAAGCACCTTCATCTCAGCTTTCCATTTTTGGCTTGAAGATGTTTAAAATTAAGCAAAAAATCTCATTTTAAACCTAATAGGCAAACCACTAGGCTTGGACGCAGTTCGGACCACCCGGCCCAGGAACCGGCCCGGCCCGGGAACCGGGTACCGGTTCCGGGTCTAAGCCCAGTTTGGGATGGGTAATTTGGTTGGGTACGAGCTTAGGTAAATCAGAAAATGCCACCCGGATTTTTTTTTGTTTTTTGTTGGTTTGGGGCTTTGGGCTGGGTTTAAATGGGCTGGAATGGGTCTTTCAAATGGGTGTGTGGGATTGGGGGGTAGGGGACAAAAATAATCAAGAAAACAAAAAAAAATTATAACCAGACCCGACCCGGCTCGGACCGGCACCGGTCTACTTCCGGGCCGGTCCCAGCCTCCCAGGCCTAACAGATTTTTTTTTGGCCTGGCCGGGCCCGGAAGCGGTTGAGTCCATGACTACAAACCACTCACCGATAGACGATAGGGTACATGCTAGAGAACATTTACTGATTTTTATTCATAAATAAAATGAAGTATTAATTCACACAATATCGGCCTATTTCATATCGAACACTGTAACTAGAAGTCTAAAATTTTAAACCTAATTTTTGAAGCATGCATAACAATAGCAAACCTAATTTTTGAAGAACAGTATGAGTTTCATCATTAATTTTAAGGGTCAGTTTGGTCCTCGAAGTTGCAAAAAAGAGGTTAAATAAGTCCTTATATAGAAGATTCTGTCCGGACGTACCATTTGAGGTGGCTCCCGGTAGAATTTTTTGATGAAATTTTTTGAGAATCTTATTCATTAAGTCTAGTTTACTCATACTAAATTTCAGATAAAATTCAATCGGGAAGACATTCAAATGAATTCTTGAAGATAACTGTGCCGTTAAAAGCGCTGTTATCTTCAAGAATTCATTTGAATGTCTTCCTGATTAAATTTTTAGCTGAAATTTGGTATGAGTAAACTAGACTTGATGAATAAGATGCTCAAAAAAATTTATCACAAAATTCCACCGGGAGCCACCTCAAATGGCACGTCCGGACAGAATTTTCTATATAAGGATTTATTTGACGCCTTTTTTGCAACTTCGAGGACCAAACTGACCCTTTACTCATTAATTTTTACTCCAAATGATGAGTACAAGTAATATCCAATTATCTGTTCAACCGAATTCTGAATAACAACTTAACAAGCATGTAGCTCATAGGACTGCTATATGATGAGCCTTCACAAAACACAAAGGCACTCCCAAGAATAAAAAACTTTACATCCTATTATTCTCTAGCACTCCTGCGTGAAATCAAAACTTGTGAAGGTGAAATGACTAGAATGTAAAATCCAAGAAATATATACTACGTACTAAATTCAGTTCTTCTACACACTTTCAGATTTTTTTGACCTAAAGTCAGGGCATGTCACACAGGCAGTTGGAGGGGGCACATCATCTGAAACAGTTATTCGAAATGTTTGTTGCTTCTCTTGATTTCCAGGTACGTGAACAAGAGCTTCCATAATGAGGATTTCCCAAGCACGGGGCCGAAAAAATGAAATCCAAGTATCCTCTACAACACATCAAATAAAAAAATGGCAAACATGAAGCACAAACGAAATAAGTGATCCAAAACCAGCATGTGCAATATCTCAAACAACAACGGATTCGACATGCCAAAAAATAATCTCAGTTTCACCATTTCCAGTCTAGAATCCAACAATAGTAACAGTGTTACTTAACACTGAAGCGTACGACCTTCCCGGGTTCAACTCCAAGCAAAGATCTGGGTTGAAACCTCACTCTCTCCACTCATCTGTAATAAAAATTGTCTGGTCCGATGGGGTGTCATCCTTTTGGAGTGTCCGACCTTGATTGAAAAAACATCTCTCAAGACATGTCTACTTCACGTATTATGACCTCCTAGGCCATAAACTTATAGTAAATGCGAGTGTATGGGGTGCCCTACTCATAAGTTTGCCCTGCTTTGATGGCAAAACATTTTACTTCAAAAAAAATAAAATAAAAATAGTTCAAAAAGTTTCAAGTTAATAACTTGTTTCCAATATTTCTCAAAATTTACAGAAAGAGCCTCTCCATTCCTATCAATAGAGATGAGGTCCCAACTCACCCTATCCTAATCCTAGTCAGACATATTGAATATGTTTAGTTTGGTTTGTTTAGGCTAATAACCGACAATTAAACATCTGAGTAACTTATAACTACACCGAAAATAAACATGTAGTATACAGAGCCTTATATCTATATTGGATTTCAATTCTATGGTTATACGTGGATAAATGTTAAACTCAACGTATGGAGGAGGGATAAACCTACTTCAGAAAGAAAGGAAAAAATATATGAAATGCCAATTACCTCCATTATTAATTGCCTTTAACTGAATGATCCCAGAGCCTTGTGGACCTGAAACGGGAAATGAGCAGGATACAGAATGCCTTTGGTGCGACTTCCCCAGCGATGCATTATACCATGGTCCTCTAACAATTGGCACTCCAATAGATTCTATTATGGCCTTGTTCTTATTAGCTCTCTCTATTGCCTTGCTGAAAGGAATAATAATTAGAAAATTTACATATTTATAATTAAAATAAAGGTGGTTTACAAAAATGTGGTCTTTAAAGTGTAGTGACTAGTGACTATAGTAATAACTTATGTTGAACTTTTACAATCAAGTGACCATGACATTATACTCATGGTAACTTTAGTCATATTTTTGTAATTAACTTTTATTTCATACTACCTCCGTCCCCCTAACGCTGTGTTTGGATGGAGTGTTATGGAGTGTTAGTAATGGAAGTGTTAGTAAGTGTTGACAGTGGCCCGGAAGGGAAGATAAGTGTAAGTGTTAAGTATAAATTAACCCTGTTTGGAAGAGTAAAAAAATGGAGTGTTAGTAAAGGAAGTGTTTTCCTAGGAAGCACGGAAACGCCGATTTAGACCACGTTCCCGTCCCGGAAACGTTTTGGAAACGCGAAACGCCAGGAAACGCCTGGAAACGGCTGGGAAACGCTGAGAAACGTTTCTTTGCTCATGGGCTGTTGGGCCGGGTTGGGAAACGTTTCGGAAACGGGAATATCATTGGGCCTGCGCGTTTCCACTTAATTTTCTAAAAAAATTGAGGGCGGTCAATCATGAGCTACACCATCGGGCGTTTAGTGTTTGTAAAAAACCTGCGCAGTTCGCTGGAGTCTGCCTCTACGATTATTATCCTCTCTTGAACTTAGCGACGCAGCAACGCTGGGTGAGTCGGTGACGAAGGGAGACACAGAGCGGAACGATCTCCTCTGGAGGCTGGACTTGGTGATTTGGTGAAGGCCTTCTGCTGCTGCGGTGCTGCTTACTGCTTAGCTTTTTCACTCAATGGGTGGGTAGGATTTACTTTTATAACAGACATGTTTTGTTTGATTATTTCGTACTTGTTGGACGTAAACATTACTCATACTAGTAAAATTTTAATTTTTAGTTCGGCGTTTCCTTGCCGTACCCGTATCTTGATATTTTGGGTTTAGAGTTTCCTCGTCCCCGTTTCCGTCCCCGTTACCGTCCCCGTTTCCGTCCCGGTGCTACTTAGGTGTTTTCACATAAATTTACAAAAATAACCTTATGCTTTTTAAATCTTAATTTATAAAAGGGAAAATACGGAAGAAGGAGGCCAAAAGAGCATCGCCGGCCAACATCAATCCATTCATCTCCTGTTGCCCATGGATTCCAGCTCCGGTAATTGAATTTGATTCACTTAGGTATCCGGAGAAGCCCTGTAAAAGAACATTTCAAGTCTCCGCCTACCTCTCAAATCTCAGTCGTCGGAAATGGAGATCGTCGGTGGGTGGCAAAGGCTGTTTCTGGGCGGATTAGCCTCGTGGGTGGTGCTTTCTTGTACTATGTATATCTCATATATACACACATCAATCTATCACATATGTATAAATCAAACATATAAGGAATATATAAAATCTGGCTCTGAGAGAACTAACCTGGAATAATAACAAATGATGAATAGATGAGATGAAGGCTGAAAAGTGAGAGAGACGAGTAGAAGAGATTGCCGCAGAAGAGATGGAGGCAGATGAGCAGACAACGATCGAGAGGGCTGTGCGGCAAATAGAAGTAGTGGGCTATTTTTTATCGGTAAATGAAGGGTAGTAATTGTCAACACTTCAATACACTCCATTTTGGGGTGTTAAAAAAGTGGACAAATGAGGTGTTGAGGGGGTAATTACTAACACCTTTTAACACTTACTAACACCCGTTAAGACTTCTTAATTTCTCTCCCAAACAAGTGTTAATATCAACACTTCTCAACACTTCCATTACTAACACCCCCTAACACTCCATCCAAACACAGCGTAAGTTTGGGACAAAGGAGTGTGGTGTGCTTTTTAAGAAAAAGTAGAATTGTGTGGTTGGTATTGATTTGATAAAGTGTGAATAAAGTAAGAATGAATTCTAACCACTCAAATATTACCAAATATGGTATGAGACAAACTTATTGGGACGGACGAAAAAGGCAAAATGGGACAAAGTTAGGGGGGCGGAGGGCCCTTGCACTTCCCCAATGAAGTTTCTAGTGTATATGTATGTAGTGTGTGTATTTAGGGTATGAGAAATTTTATACTCCACATTTCATTTTCTAATCAATGTCTACATCCATAAGGTGCAGCTTTTGTAATTATAAGAAACTCAATCAGAGGTTTTTAGCAATTAATTGACGACAGTTACAAAGATGTCACCATGTAGTAGACATACATATTAATACTATCTTTGTAAATATGTGAAGCTTTACATTTCTCAAGCTTTAGACCCATCACATTGTTGTGTGACTCTCTGCAGTGCTCAAATTCCACAAAATGATTCTTGTTTAGATACCACAGATCTCTGAACGCTCATAAAGACATAAACATTAAACTTATCTGTCTACTCATTAGGACTTCAATTGACAAGATGATCATTACAGAGTCATGTGAAGATCAACTAAGAGCAACATATAGCCTTATTACGCTTCTTTTTTTACCAAACACGTAACTTTTGCTTTCACAGTTCGAATTGTGTCATAGTCCTAGTTAAAGTTACTTTTCTGACTGAATTGACTGAAATTACTATTGATAATCATTTTAACTATTGTCATATAATTTTTCTTTATTTATTAATAAAATATATTTTTAATACTCCCTCCGTCCCATTGGACTTTGCCAACTCTCTCCTTTTGGTTGTCCCTAAAAACTTTGCCACTTTCCTATTAAAGCAATTCATAGTAGTCAATGGCTAGATATGGCGTGCGCCATATGCGCCATCGCCATGAAAAAGTGGTCATCGCCATAGAGCCATATGCACTATATGCGCCATCGCCATGCGCCATCGCCATGCGCCATGAAAAATGCCTTTGAGCCATGGCGATCGCCATGCGCCATGACAACTGTGAAGCAAATAATTTGTGATTCTGCACATTTCTCTCTCCTCTGCACAAATCTCAACCACACAGTTTTTACTGTTCTTATTTCTCACCTACTTTGCACTTGGCAAAGTCTACCGGGACAGAGGTAGTATAATTTTTTCATAATTCAGTCCATTCAACCAATTTCAGAGTTACCAACCAGACTCTAAATCTATTACCTGCTACAACTGTGGTATATTGAGAGATCATCAAGTGCACTGAGAGCAACACCTCCTGTCAGGCAAATCAATGTCCCCATTACCGCCCTCTGTCCCCACATTTTTGCATTGCTTCCATCTACCTCGCTTTTTGTTGAACTAAAAGTTGAATATTAAAACACAATCAATAAGAGTTGGATAACCATCACAAGAATTAAAGAACCGATCCTTCAAGAAAATAATGAATTTCTTACGGACTGCGTTTCAGGAACAACAATAAATTTCTTCTTGACATTGCTGGATCTCTTTGCTTCCTTTTTTTTTTCAAAACCCTAAACCCCAAATTGATGTGAACTTGAGGTTTCCAAAACAACCTGTGAGGCATCAATTTCAGAGATCAGAAAGGAAAATGGTAAAGCTGTGTTTGAATGTTTGAACTTCACAACTTGAGATCAGGGGCAGATCTGACTTTGGCATTTTCGGGGAGAGGGGGGGGGATTTAAATAACGTACATTGAAAAAAACATCTATTTCATTTCATTTTCATTTACCCCAGTGCCGCAAAGGCTCCCACCTACGGTGAGGTAAGGGGGTCGGATGTACGCAGTCTTACCCCTGTACTAAAGCACAGAGAGGCTGTTTCCGGATGATCCACAGTGAAAATCGCGTCCAAAATTGAATAGACAGACTGTGTGGGTGCTTCATAACAAAGAAGCGCAGACAGTTTAGTGAGTCATTTTGCTCTATTCCATCATATTCTCAAGCCAAAAAATAATAAAAGAAAAACATCTATTGTAACAACAAAATCAATGACAAAAATAAACATAATAGGAATAAAGTTTTCATTGAAGTCAAATACAAAAAAAACAACAATTTTACAACTGTTCTCTACGGGTTGTCATCGATTGATACGTTTGATAATGACATCATTGCCAACTTTCAAGAATATGTCTTTTTCTACATTAATAATAAGTCTACCTTGAGATCAGTATTCTCAATCCAGGGTCAGATGGAAGTTGGGAAGAATCAAACTTTTCAACAGGGTATGATTGTCGATTATTTATGTTGCTTTGTTTGTCATTTGTTGTTGAGATTTCTTGGATTGTAGTTGGGGGCACTACAAATCTGGATGAGCTACCTTCTTTAGCTCCTACTTCAAAAGGATTATAGACTTTAATACTTTATAGTATCTCTTCGTTACCTTTATTGAAAATAAGACGAGTTACTACACTAATACTAATTAACTTAATAATAATAATAAGATTAATAATTTCAAATCACAAGTAAATTCATACTACTATAAATGATGATTACAACTTTATAATTAACAACAAAATTCATACTAAGCAAGGCTGTAATTTAATCTTTAAATATAATTAAAAGCACAATAAAACTAAAACTTAAAATTAAACAAGGCTGTAAAACTAAACAAGACTGTTAAAATTAAAAAACTTAATTAACTTACCCGTTAGGTAGTTTCGCAGCTGCAGATTCCCAGTTTACCAGCGAAGAGCAGAATTAGAAAGCCAGAAGGGTTGCAGAAAGCCAGATTCCCAGTTCCGCAGCTCCGACGTGGACAGTCCGTTCGACGGCCGACCAGCGAGGCAGAGATTGACGATCGACGACGATGGGTTGCTGCGCGTTACTGTGCTACTGGCATGAACGACGCGGTCATGCGGTCTTGAAGTTGGATTTGGGATTTTGAGATTTTGGGCCATGGTCTAATTGTGGGCTTGGCTGGAACGATAGGAGACGGCAGGGACTTGGGCGGAGTGTGGACTAATGGACCTGGACTGCTCTATATTGACATTCTTTTAAAATGAGTAATTTTACTTAATACAGCCACAATTATTAAATATTCCTAATTTAACCTTTTACGGCCCTTTGCGATCGAACAAAACATTATACTACACATGTCCCTTTTTATTTAGCCATTTTTGACTTTTCCAGTCAAAGGTGATAAATTTTGATCCATTATTTTAACTAATATATTTATGTAAAACTTAATAAATTTATACTTTTATGATAGTATTTTTAACAAAGAACATTTTCATATAATTTTCACATTATCAATATTACCATGTATAAATATATAATTGGTCAAGCTTGAACAACTTTGACTTGGAAAAGGTGTTTGGCTAAATAAAGGGGGACGGAAGGAGTATGTACTTTATGCAGCCACCACTAAATACCGGTGGCCACCACATTTTTTAGATACTTATAAGTTATATTACCGTCCCACTTAAATCATTCATATGCAGAGTCTACTTCCACTCATTCATCCAAGTTGTTGATCGAATTGGAGATGAGATTCAGATTTTAAAAATTAGATGAAACATAGCTTCTTCTCTTCACTCTCACTCAGGAAACTTCAGAGTTCATACATGAGCGATGATGCGTAGTGGATGTGTGGATATGAGTGAAGCTATGAGTACAAGTTCCATAATAAATTGAGATGGCATTAATGCGGATTAAAACTAAAACAACATTATCATAAGGGTATAATCGAAATTACACTTTAATGCGAAGGTATGTGGATGTAACTAGCAAATACGGGAGGGTATATAGAATTACCCATAGTAAATTTGAGGGTGGGCTTGGACCCTCCCTGGCTCTAGGCCCAATCCATCACTGCTTGAGATAATACACCGTAAGTTTTAGAAAAAAATTAGAGGATTATAAAATGTGTATACTTTTTATGTACACATTCCTCAAAGTTATCTATGTACACAATCAGTTCGTTTAAAAAAATCAGCAATTACCCGCGTACGTAGACGAGTGTACACAAAGTACACATTTTTCTTGTACACCAAAAACAACTCTAAGGACACGTTTACTTCACAGGTTACTAAGTGATGCTTATTAAAACTTGCGTTAATAAGCGTCGCGTAAAATATGCAGTGTTATAAGCTCATGTTTACTTCACATAATTTAAAACATCGTTTAACATTAAAATGTCCAAAATAACCATATACATATACAAATACACAAACACTCATGTGCACAAGTGTGTATGTATATAATACGTGAGATGTGAGGAGACTGTACATAGCGCTATGTCAAACTTCACTCCCAAGCATGACCAGGTGTGGCTCTCGTTCGCGGAGGCAGCTAGAAAGGTAAACACAAAGTATGAGGCCCTAATTAGGTCTTCCCAAGCATGTGAAAAAAAAAATACTTGATGACAAGAGAGCTTCCACTGAACTTGGCGACCACCTATTGAGAGGAGTATGACAATGGTGAAGATTGCGTTAGGGTCAAGATTTTGGGAGAGTTCCTTAAGATTCGTGGCAACTCCCATGACTAGACCATGTACTTGATGATGATGGGTCCACTCGGCCATGACTTTGTATTTTGTATGTTCCTTTGTCAGTGAATGTAACCCTTTGATTGAATGTTTATTTTTCAATTCACATGTTTCCTTTTCTATACTTTGCTGATTGGATCGTTCCTTCATGACATGTCCGTAGGCATGTGATGAGATGCACTCACGTCGCCAATGGACTACTAATATCTTTCCCTCATGCCGTCTTCTTCATCTCATGCTATTATGACATATTCAAATGCTGGCAAACATAATTGCATGATAATAGTCGCTCTATTTATGACTACTCTTTGTCTTTGTCCAAATTTGCTGACAGAATGACCACATTCAAGATTTATAAGCTAATTTAAACAAATTGTAGACACGACCACATGATAATAGTCACTCTACTTGTGACTTTACTCTTCTCATTGTGCACGTACGATTGTACTAACTATAATGTGTTAATGAAAGTTCATAATAGGTTTTAATAGTCTTGTTTAATTTAGCTACTATCATATTTTTCTTGGTTAATTATTTATCAATATAATTTTTTTAGGTTCAAATTAGTTTAAGTTGTTTCTTTCTTGTTTTGTAGATGCACGAGACTTTTAAGTGATATCTCACAAAACTTTTAGACGATGCCATTTTTTCACTTTTAAAATACTACTAATAATTTTTATATTAAAATATTAATGACTGATTTAATAAAAGCTGTTATTGTTAACCGCGATTATACCTGTTATCTGTTGGGATGATTATGATTTAATAAAAATTACTCATGGATGATCAAAGGTTACCGGGCGAGGAAGTTACCAAGCGGGCGTGTACGCATAAGCTTCTGTTATCCGCAAGAGAAAAGAAAAAACAAAAAAAAAGTGGATTATATCCGAAAGTACCCCTACTTGTTTCTCTCAGATGACCCAGGGACACATCCTCTTACCTGACTTTCACTCGCATGGAGAACCTGAAGCGCAACGAGCACTCTTCAATCTCCGGCTCGAAGAGGAGCTTGAAGAGGAAGCTGGACGAGGATTTTGAAGAAGATCGCTTGAGGATAGTTTCTCTCTCCTCTGACGATGCTAATCAAGATATCATCCGCGAGGTCCGCAGTCAAGTGCAGATTCTCGGAGCGTCTTTCTCTTCATCCGAGCCAGATCGAGCTGCCTCAAAACGCGCCATTCATATCCTTTCCGAGTTAGCAAAGAACGGTAACTCGAATCACTGTATTTGTCACTCATTTCTCCCCGATCTCATTATCCTGTACACATGCATATAGATTGTGGTTCAAACATCCGTAGTTCAGATTGCGTTCACTTAGATTTTATGTGTCCGCAGAGGATATTGTGAACGTAATTGTGGATTGTGGCGCTGTTCCGGCTCTTGTGCAGCATCTCCAGCCGCCATCTCCTTCAAGGGATGGAGAAGCCGGTCCAATCCCGCACGAGCATGAGGTCGAGAAAGGAAGTGCTTTCACTCTTGGGATGCTTGCCATAAAAGTACTTACAGTCTATCATATTCTCAGTTAGTTCAGTTTTTCCCGAATTATTATTTGATACCATTCCCTTGGACATTTGGAGAAATCTACGGGTGTTAATCCATCTGAGTTTTTTTAAATATACAATATAATGAAATTTAAATCTTAATTTAACTACAATAATATCTATCACGTAGTACAAAACTACAAACTTGAAGCCAACATATTTTTGGTGATCAGGTGATTCAGAAAGGAATCCCTGGTCTCCAGAATGAGAAGATAGGTATTTGTTTCTTTAGTTTTTTAATCTTGGAGAGAGAGTGAGGGTTGTGTCATCATATTTAGTTGCAGACTTGCACTCACTAAACACCTCACTAATTCTGCAGTCATACAAAAAGTGTTTGATGCTAGTGACTTGTTGTCATGAAATTTCAATGGAGTGCAATTGATAATCTCCACTAGATTGTTTGCCCAGAAAAATTTCTTTTGACCGCAATATTATCTCTTTTTTCTATCCCACTACTTTTTATTGGGATATAGGTATGTTTGGACTGTATGGATAAGCATGACCCTAGAATGCATCCATATCATATATAGAGTTTGCTATATGGGTAACTAATACTACCTCCGTCCCGGCTTAAGTTTCTCATTGACAAATGACACCGTTATTTAGACAATAATTAAATAAGGTAATTCAAGTATATTTTCATAAGTAATTTTGATGGGGTATAACATAATGAGGCGGTTGATGATAACTGTGGTGTTATAGGTGTAATATTTTTAATATTTGATGATTAATTTATAATTTTTCATTTAAGAGGAGTAATTATTTCCTAAAATAGAAACAAGAAGCTTAGCTGGGACGTCCAAGAAAAGGCAAGTGAGAAGTTTAAGCTGGGATGGAGGAAGTATTGTTTATTGTTATACAAAATTAATTGCATAAAAGAAAAAATCTATAAAAACTGTATATGTTAGCTTTCTTGTACAAAAATATATGGCTTTTGAATGCACATGCCACCTGCTTGAGTGTTAAGGAATTGTAATTCTGGATATGTTTACATTTGATGTACCTTTAGGTTTTTATTGCTTAATGAAGTTGTTCTCCTACTGTTGTGTCTTACAGCCAGAGCATCAACAACTCATTGTCAATGCTGGAGCTGTGCCTCATCTTGTCAGCATTCTGAAGAGGCATAAGGATAGTCCAAACTCTCGTGCTCTCAATGGTGTGATCAGGAGAGCTGCAGATGCAATCACCAATCTTGCTCATGAGAATAGTTGCATTAAAACACGTGTTAGGTCAGTTAATTATGGATTCCAAGACCCCTAGTGGCCTAGTCCCCTACATTTTATTGTGACCCTTAACTTCTACTTTTAGGGTCGAGGGTGGCATCCCTCCTCTTGTTGAGTTGCTTGTGTTTGCTGATGCAAAGGTGCAAAGAGCAGCTGCATGTGCCTTACGAACTTTGGCCTTTAAAAATGATGAAAACAAGAATCAGGTTTATGACATTTTCTGAATTGCAGAATCACATTTGGACATTCCATAATTTCTGAGTTAAATGCGCTATCCGACTATATTTTAACTGCTTGCAGATAGTGGAGTGCAATGCTTTACCCACTCTTATTCTAATGCTTCGGTCTGAAGATAGCGCAATACACTATGAAGCGGTCAGCCATTGCTTTATTCAGAATTCAAGCTTACCGCATGCTTGTTTTAGATAACCTGGCTCTTGCTTCTTGGCTTCTTCTATTGTTCCTTTTGGACTTGAAATATTGGTGGCATGTCAGGTTGGTGTAATTGGCAATCTTGTTCACTCATCTCCCAATATCAAGAAGGATGTTCTTGCTGCTGGAGCTTTACAACCTGTCATTGGGTTACTTAGGTATCCTTAGGTTTACCATTTTTTAAGGCTTGCGATTTTAACAATGGAATACTGTCCATTTGG